TCAGTACTTTGTCTTGTGGTGTTCATCAGGGTTCAATGTTAGGTCCTCTCATTTTCCAATTACATAAATTATGCCCTACAGTGGAATAAATCAAAACTTGTAATTAATACATTTAGCCCTCAAAGTTCTGTCAACAACCTCAAATTAAACAATTGAGGTCTCTAATGGGGCATTTCCTCTACAGCGCGGTTTAAGCGTGCCGTGCCCGTTTTTGGTTGCGTTTCCACTAGGGGTAGTTCCGGCTAGCAGGTACTTTTTCACAGTTTTCTGGCTCTCCATAATCCAGGTTCTTTCCGGGCCAACAATCTGGCTGAGTATGCTTAACTAGTGAGAGAATCACAGGCAACTACAACAAAATGAACATATTTGACCGTGATTTAATTGTAATACACGTTTCAAAATGATGCCGAAGTAACAACATACTGATACCGGTTAGTAAAAACCATGAATGAATGCTTTGACAAGTCTGCAGACAAGACGGCAGGCGAAACACCTTTTAAAATGCGTGTTTTCTGAATGGAGATCGGCTGAGCTAACGTTGTATATGCTCCGACCGTCCACACTCACAACAACGGCCTATACAGACATAAATAAACCAGCGACTGTATTCGCCATGACACAGACAGTCTGTGGTTTGTACTTGTTTAACTGTTGTCTAGTTTCTGAACAGATATGAGGAGCTGTGAGCTCTGAGGGCTAACAGCTAACGCAGGGGTAGACATTAAGGGTAAAATGCCACTGGCCCTCCGGGCCGGTGGAATTGTATTATCACTGGCCCCACCATTGTAACCACTGGCCCGGAGCATTCGTCCAAAAAAAATTGACTAATAATGAAGAAAATTGACACATTTGTTGCAATAGTAATTTATGCACTACATTACTACTTGTACTACAACATTTGAATCATCAGTTCTTCCTCATTTTCCTCAATTGTTCATTGTTAAAAAATGTCTGCTATTATTATGAGTATTATTATTGGTATAATGCGCTTTCTGCCTTCCTGTCATTAGGAGTTAGAAATGTAATGGCTATGTAATAGATTAGAACCTTCATTATCCTAAACTGCTGGGACATTTCCCTATAGCCAATACCTTTATATTTTCTACTCTTCACTTCCTTGTCAGCATGGGTCGGCATTGATGTACAGAGCCGACAGAAGACCTTGTTTGTATTGGCATCATATAGAGTGGTGCAGTGACGCGTCCTAAAACCAGGAAGTAAGCTGCTGGTTCCCTCGACAAAAAAGCAATGGGATTTCTCCACAGGGTTTTGGAAAATAGCTGGAAATAAGGTCTGTGGAAAACAAACCTGTTAATAAATGCACGTTTTGTTCAGCCGGATAATCTCCACATGTCTACCCTACTTTTATAATTTTCGAATCATAAATCTAATCGATAGATTATAAAAGGGTTTTAGGACGCGTCACTGCACCACTCTATAGAAGCCAACTCCATCGATCAAGCTGGCTGAAACTTTCTCTCCCTCTTCTTCTCATGCTCCCTGTCACTCTCCTTTAACTCATCCGGTGACTTTCTTTTATTTGAAGATAGTTTTTTGCCCGGCACTTGGCCGGTTACCGCTGGTATTAAAAACATTTTGGCGAATGGTTAGGTGGCGCGATAGTCTGTAGTGAAGAAGGAGCGTGCTCACGGGAGCCTGCTTACGCTGCGCTCCGCAGCAAACAGCTGTTTATTTTTTTAAAGCAATATTTTTAGTGGCTCGAGCGGCCAAGTGGAAAGTACGTTATTCTGGCCCGGGGTGTCTAAATAGTGCTTCCGGGCCAGCGGGCCATTTATAATGTCAAGCCCTGACGGCTGATGTTGGTTTTGTGTTTCGCATTGAAGATGACGTCACGGCTCCGCCTACACTGCGTTACTACCCCAGTTCCAAAACTGTAATGGAAACTTGCATAAAGTGAGCCTGGCCTAGCAAGGCCTAGCTATACCGTACTAAGCCATGCGAGGCCCTGCAGTGGAAATGCGCCATAAGCCAGGTAATCTAGTTGCCATGCTTGACCCTACCTTTTAACTGATTGTCAGTTATGTTTTTTTGTTGTTTTTGTTTTCAACAATTGACAAAGACCGAGAGAGTTTGTTATAAAAGGATGTTTTCAGTTTTTTTAACTGCCATATTTTGTTCTGTCTTATAAAACACTTTTTTAACTTGTTATTGAAAAGTGCTGAACTATAGAAAGTTTGGATACCATTTTCTCATTTTGTTTAAAATTATAAATCCATCCTTTGTTGTCTGGAGTGATAGCAGGGAAATAACAGTGTCCTTTAATACTCCATATCTTTCTGCAAGCCATTTCACCAACAGTTTCTCCTCTTGCTCCCCTCCTCACTCTTTATCTCTCTGTCTGTCTGTCTCTCCCTCTCTCTTTATCAGTTTCTCTCTAAGGTGTGTTCCCTTCTCCCTGAGGGCATCCCCTTGGGCTCTCTCTCTCACACACACACACACACACACACACACACACACACACACACATACACACACACACACACACACACACACACACACACACACACACACACACACACACACACAGAGTGCATTAGGGTTGCTGTCATTTACAATACAGCCCCATTGTCCCAGCCTAACAATGGCTACAAACAAACAATTGACATGGAAATGAAGAGATGTAGCTCATTAGCGGGCGCTGCTTGTTTTGTTAATGGGTAAATGGGTGGCTTCAATAGGCCAGCCCTAAAACCCCTGCCTCAATATGGAGAAGCCTGATTAACAGGAAACCACAGGGAGGGAGAACAGTGACGGAGAAATGCAGCTTCACTCTCCCTTGGGCCATATGTGGTTGTGTATATTTGGGAAGGAGGGGGGGTGCAAAGTGGAGTTGTAGAGTGTGTGTACTGTAGGTGTTGTGTGTGTTAATGCTAAGTTGTGTAAGACGAGTGCAACATTGAGTTTGAGTTAGTTTTGTTTGTCTCTTTACTTCTATTGTTTTAGTTAAATCATGCAGGCAGGGTTCAAAACACCATTTCTATTCGCTGTTTCATCCAGAATTAATTTCTAACTCTTCAGCTGCCACAACACCGGCATTAGAAATATCATTGCTGAACAGCCTGAACCCTTTTAAATAGTTGTTCTGTCTCATAACTCCATTCCACATCTGCTTTTTCAGTCAAACTTTCAATGTATTCGATGATCTTTGTGCAGTTTTTACTATTTTGTTTCCCCCTCATTTTTCTGTAAATCACATTATGACTGTTTTATCGAAACTACGTCACGTCAATTTAAAGTTGATTATACCGCAATATCTCAACAAAGCATCTCAAAGTGAGATAAACAACATGCTAAACATTACAAATGGAATATTTTACACTTAAAATACATACAACAAAACACTAATGAGCATTATAAGCAAAATATACAAAGAAGAATGGAAGAGACACATTTACAAAGACGTATATATCAAAAAATAAATTCCGTACATATTCATATCCATGCTCACATAGACTGAGTATATATATGTGAGGTTTAAAGTTCCCTTTTTTATTAATTGCTCAACTAGCCTCTCAATTTTTTTATAAGAAGACGATTTGAAAATAAAGGAAGGTGGTATAAGAAGGCCCTACCACCTACTTGTGTTGTATTTATTTTGTATATAGTCAGAGTACCGGCATTTTGAGATTGTAGAGCCCTAGCAGGTATACGTGCATAGGGTCGATAGGAAGGGTGGTGCAAGTCGGTGTTGTACTTAATAGGTTAAAAATCAAATCTTGAAATCAGATCTAGCATGGACAGGTAGGCAGTGTATTGAGATATAAACGGGTGTAACAGGACCTTTGTATATGTCTGCCTGTTTACCGTATGTACTTGGGACCTGTGCATTCAGTGTGTGCTTGGTTTGGTCATCATCGGTTAACTGTTTGTCAGTTGACTTCACATCTGTGTGTGTGTGTGTGTGTGTGTGTGTGTGTGTGTGTGTGTGTGTGTGTGTGTGTGTGTGTGTGTGTGTGTGTGTGGTGTGTGTGTGTGTGTGTGTGTGTGTGTGTGTGTGTGTGTGTGTGTGTGTGTGTGTGTGTGTGTGTGTGTGTGTGTGTGTGTGTGTGTGTGTGTGTGTGTGTGTGTGTGTGTGTGTGTGTGTGTGTGTGTGTGTGTGTGTGTGGTGCCCGGTGCTCGGTGCTATCGGTTAGATCAGATTGGATCGTCCTGAAAATGGCATTTCTGCCATTACTCTGATGGTGACGGCTCAATGCTGTATGTCTAGTGCCAGGATGATGTGAGTGTGTGTGTGTATCTATCTATACACTCCTAAACACATAATGCACCAAGATGTGTGCATCCATTTTGATAGAAAAAAAACATCTTGTTTAGTATTTCGTGGTAGCTTGAGTGTCTGTATTATGTTGTGTTTGAATGAATACGTATATTGTCGTATCCATCTACAGTGTGCATGCATTAAGTTGTGTGATGATATGAAGTGTTAAGAAGCTCATTTGAATGGATTGGCTGAAATAAAGCTTCAAAATCTGCTCCTTTCTTTCTGAACATACCTGTTTTGTTAACCTCAGGCTGCTACAGTTACTGTACTGCTTTCTTTACAAAATAAATGTGGTTGTTTGGTGTGCTATCTGCAGGCCGGTGCATGTACTCAAAGAATGTTAATGAAGTAAAGAAGCTTCACTACATCTTCTCTCTATCATTTTGACTCCGATCCTGAAGTATTTGGATCAAATAGATTGTGAAAAATAAAGTAGGCCAGAGTTGGAAGGCTACACCAGCGTTTTGAGTCATTATATGCAAATGCATTATCATTACTAAGGATTTTGATCCAACACTTGATACTGACTAAATGTTAATATCTTTGGCTTTCTTTAAACAAGTTGTTCTTACTACGTCACACTTTATTAAAGATTAGGGATTTCATTCTGTATGATTTCTTCTCTGGATGTAATAAAATGTACCTGTACCTGTAAAAGAGTGACTCAAATGGTTTTGTTCACGTTTTATTTGTAATAATTATACATTTCTGTGTGCAGGAGCGCGATGCAGAGCGGCGGAGGCAGCTGAGGGAACGAGCCCGGCAGCTGATCGCTGAGGCTCGGTCCGGAGTCAAGATGTCCGACATGAGCCTGGACATCACTGACAGAGGGAAGGGCGGCAAGACTATCCCTGCTGGAGGTCAGCACACACACACACACACACACACACACACACACACACACACACACACACACACACACACACACACACACACACACACACACACACACATAAACATTAACTCATACCCTGTATGGACCGTGCACCCAGTGTTCTTATTTACACATACTTTCAAAGTTGTATTAAAAGAAATTCTTATATACAAACAAACACACTTGCCCACAATCATAACTCTCCCTAATACTCATTAACAAAAGCACAAAAGAAAAGTCCCGCTGCTTTTGACATACACTCACTTTTTCATTCACACATGCTACGACTTACACATTTCCATTATGCTCTCTAAAGGGGTTCTGCCTAATCCTCAGAGAACAACAAAAATGTCATTTGACAACGGCCACGGGTCTAAAATGCACCACCCTCACATTCAGAGCAGCAATTTACCCCTGCGACTCCTCCCTCGTCTGTTTCGCCCTGTAATTGTTAATCAACACAACACATTGTGCGGACAAATTATGCTCAAAATACCAAACACTTCTAATGAAGGCTTGCAGGGGAAGCAACCGCTGCTGTGTACATTTCCCACTGCTTTTCATTTCCTTGAAATTGCGGGTATTATGATAATAACCATTATTAGGACATTATTGTTTCAGATGCCTCGATATTACACCCCTCCTTTAGTCGTTCTCTTCAGGTAGATCCTGTGCTCTGAATGCAAATGACAGGTGAGCATGTAGAAGGTGATGAAGAGTGTGAGGAGTTGATAAAGCATTATGAGTCGTGAGATTGTGATCAAGGTGAGGAAATAAGTGTACTGAAATGAAGAGACTGCGAAATTGCGGATGAATGATTATTGTCATTATATAATGTCAGAAAAAGTATGCCAACATTTTCAGGTTACATTTCCAGTGATGTCGACAATGATATAATCCCCAAAACTCCAACTTCTTATTTTCCTAGAATATAAACTGAGAAGAGTATACATTCCTATCAATTCAAAAGAACCAGAGAAAAAGGACTGAAATTGAATGATCTTTCTATCAATCAACTAGTTGATAAATCCACTAATGGTTGCAGCTTGTGTGCCGGAGTTGTGTATAGAGAGACAGGGAAAAGGATAAATAGGTTAGTAAAATAAACTGTAGCCTAAGAAAAGGAGTTCTCATTCATAACACTCCGTTCGATGTCTCACTATGGGATGCGCCTCATCGCGGAGCAAACAGAAGCATCAATCTCATTACGCCAATCCTGATTGGCTGGTGATCTTGACGTCAGCGTCAGGGAATTCACCCCCTATAAGTAGCTTGCGCCACGACGCATGCGCCATTCAAACACCTCTTCTCGCTTCAGAGCACATCTCTATGGTAGCCGGACAAGCTTAACGGTCCACAGACTGAACCCAAATAACCATTTCGGTCGACGGGCGCTCGCCGGCTACTCCTTCTGCTTCGCAGGAAGACGGTAATACTAACGCCAGTTAGTATTGAAATCGACCTCGCCGTTCTCTTTCCCCGGAAAGTAAGGTAGGTCTGATTTTTTCAAGCTAGCGTTAGCTTGCTCCCTCACTATCGACACCACGGTAGCGAGGAAGCTCTTTTATTTTCTCTTCCCCACGGAGGAGGAAAGGATTAAAGGAGCATACTGTCACACCAGTCAGTATTCTCCGGGAATAAAAGACCCACACCGTCCTTTTCTCCGGATTAAGGACAGGGTGGTAACACCTTTTTTTCTCCCAACCTACCTGTTGAGAGCGGGTCCTCTCCATGCCACGAGGCGAACAAGATGGACGCCTCTCTCCCTCACACCAGAGGAGTCAGGGACTCGGTGGCTCGACTCTGTGGCTGCGGGTTGAAGATCTCGGGCACAGACACACACCAGGTCTGCTCGTCCTGCCTCGGGCTGGAACACGCCCGAGGCGCTATCGACAACCCCGGCTCGTGCGGACATTGTGTCCGCTTCACCGTGAAGAGCCTCCGCCGACGGCTAGCACGCCAAGCTAGCCTGTCGGAGCAGGACCCCCCCATGTCCACTGACCTGCCGGCCGGCAGTCAAGACGCGGGGGCATCCGCCACAGAGAGTGAACCCCTCTCCGTGTCGGTCTGGGGCTCATTATCTGCGATGGCTGCAGAACCGGAATCCCGCGCCCTGGCAGGCCGGGACCCGGTGACGGCAAGACACGCGGGAACGGGACCCCACGCTTTACCGAGCTGGGGCTCCCGGTTAGACCTCACCATGGTCTCACCCGCGGAGGATGTCCTCGAGCTGGACTACGATGAGAACGAAGAGGACGCCTCGGTGTTCCTCCTGTCCGAGTCGGATGAACATGAAGAGGACATCTTCATGTCATCGGCTCAGGCTGCAAAGCCTGGAGCGAGGGCTGCTCTCCCGGGCGATAGCACACCAGCTTCGCCCTGTCTGAGCATAGACCTGCAGGCCGTGTGTAAACGCGCCGCGGCCAGACTCGACATCCCGTGGCCTGAAATGGCCAAGGAGACCTCCAGGTCCCGCTACGAAGGGAAACATTTTCCCCAAGCAGCGCGGACAAAGAGGCAACTCCTTCCGGTCTTCCCGGAGATGTTGGATGAGGTGTCGGTCTCGTGGAGAGACCGGCCCTTCAGCAACAAGGTCCCAATCCAGGGTGCTTCTGGTAGCAGCCCACCTCCTACCGAGGATGGGCCCGTCACCAAGCAGGAACCCCACGCTGCCGGCAAAGTCGGACCGATTTCAGTCGACAATGACTGAACGGTCCTACAAAGCCGCAGCGTTGTCCGCCAGGGCCCTGAATGTGTCCTCGCTGCTAACCGCTTACCAAGCGGAGCTCTGCGAGGACCTGTCGGGTAACCCGGGGGCAGCCACTCTGGACGAGATGGCAGCGGTCACAGACATTTGTCTTCGTGTCCAACGCTGCGCCGTCCAGGCCACGGGCAAGGCAATGGGGATCATGGTGGTGCAGGAAAGAGCGAGATGGCTCAACCTCACCAACCTCCCAGACCGGGAAAAGGAGGATGTGCTGGATATGCCCATCGCTCCCGAGGGAATTTTCGGCTCCGCTCTTGCTTCCATGCAAAGGAGGTGTGAGTCGAAAAAGAAGGAGGACGAGGCACTCCACCTCTGCCTCCCTCGAAGGGTCCAGCCGCTGCCTTCGCAGCAGCAGTCCTTCGCCCAAGCTGCCTCGAACCCTGCTCGGTTTAAAACACCGAAAACGCAGAGGTCGCAGCCCGCCCCGAGTCCCCAGCCCAGGCTGGAGACGAGGGCGAGCTGGTCCTAGAAAATCTCCGGTTCCGGCTGCAGCTCAGGCGCAGCCAACCCAGAATTTCGGCCAGCAGTCGAGGAAGAAGAAGCGAGCGGCGTGACAGCCCCTCCTTCTCCCCTCTGTGACAGAGCTGGAAGTCCACGGTTCCCCAGCTCTAAATGTGTTCCCGCCGCCTCGAGAGATGCCTCAACACCATCCTCAAGTCCGCACAAACACATGTCACAAATTTGTTGATTTTTCTGTCATAAAACATTTGCCGCTGACGCATCCAGGCTTCAGGCCGAGGGCGCAGCTCAAAAAAATGATAAGAAAAACAATAAAACCAATAAACAGCCCGTCAACTGTTCCCCTTCTGAGAGTAGCTACGGCATCTCTCAAAAGGCGGATTACAGGCTGGGGTTGTGAAGGCACCACCGTCATGCGCATGCGCAGTGTCGGTGGGGATTGTCGAAAAGGGGCACCACTGTGTTCAGACACTAGAGGGCCCCATAACACAACAAATAGAGACTCAGAGGGGAAGAGACGTGACATCTCCACTGGCTCTAAGGAGCATGCAGTGGAAGATGCTCACATCATCTGCTTGGGTTTTCAAGACAGTAACACGGGGCTACAGACTTCAATTCGCTGTCACCCCCCCTCGCTTCTCGGGCATTCTGCATTCGCAGGCCCGAGGAGAGTCAGCCCATATTCTGGAGAGAGAGATTCTCTCTCTCCTAGAAAAGAGGGCTATATCTATTATTATTATTATATCTATCAGGGCGGCTTCTATTCCAAGTACTTCCTCGTTCCCAAACGGGGAGGGAACGTAATTCGGCCAATACTTGATTTGAGGGCTCTGAACAAATATCTAAGAAGATATAAGTTCAGAATGCTCACTCACACATCTCTGCTGCGGCTCGTGCGACAAGACGACTGGTTTACATCAGTCGACCTGAAAGATGCGTATTTTCACATCCCAGTATATTACCCACACAGGAAATATCTGAGATTCGCATTTCAGGGGATCTGTTATGAATACAGAGTACTCCCCTTCGGTCTGTCTCTCAGTCCAAGGGTGTTTGTACGATGTACGGAAGCCGCGATAACCCCGTTAAGACAACAGGGTATTCGCCCTGGCGACCTACCTGGACGACTGGCTGCTTCTCGCACAGTCGGAGCAGGAGGCTGTTACGCAGACAAATGTCCTCGTAAAGCACCTGCTCAACCTGGGTTTCATAATAAACACAGAGAAGAGCATGTTGTGCCCCGCGCAGACTATACTCTTCCTGGGTTTACGCCTGAACTCGGTGCCCTTTTCAGCTCGCTTGTCAGCGGATAGAGTGAAAGCTTTCAGAGCTTGTCTCGCTCTTTTCCAGCTGCGCAAACATGTTCTCTTCAGATCATGCCTGCGATTGCTGGGGCTCATGGCGTCAGCCATCCTGGTCGTACGACTGGGACGCTTACACATGAGGGAGTTTCAGCGCTGGGTGGCCGCCCTAAAACTAAACATGGCGCGCGGAGAGTGATGGTTACTGTGAAATGCGTAATGGCACTGCGCCACTGGCTGCACCCGACTTTTCTAGTACGAGGTGTGCCTATGGGTGCTGTCCTTTCACGGAAAGTGGTCACCACGGACGCATGTCTGACAGGTTGGGGAGGTATTTATGAAGGTCGCCCGGTGAGGGGTCTCTGGAGCAGAGACCTCCAGCGGGCGCACATAAATTACCTGGAGCTTTTAGCGGTGTTTCTCACCCTAAAACGCTTTCTGCCTTTCCTCAGGGGACATCACGTCCTCGTGAGGACAGACAATACGACCACAATATCGTATATTAACCGCCAAGGGGGTTTGCGTTCTCTCCAGTTACACACACTGGCGCACAAACTGATCCTATGGAGCGGTAGACGTCTCCTCTCTCTGAGAGCGACGCACGTACCGGGAGTGATGAACCTCAGGGCAGATCTACTGTCCAGAGGTATACCACTTTATGCAGACTGGACTCTACATCCAAGGATTGTGAGCCAGCTGTGGGTGCGTTACGGCAGAGCCGCGGTGGATCTGTTCGCATCGAAAGACAACGCTCAGTGTCAGCTGTTCTTTTCGATGCGCGATCTAAATGCACCGTTAGGCGTGGATGCACTCGCGCACAATTGGCCCCCGGGCCTTCTGTACGCGTTCCCACCCCTGGCTCTGATACCCCCAACTCTGGCCAGAGTGAGAGAGCAACGCCACACACTTATCCTGATAGCTCCGCACTGGCCAGCTATGTACTGGCTAGCGGAGATATATCAGCTGCTGTGCGGGCAGCCATGGCAGCTCCCACTATGCAGGGACATACTGGCTGCATCCTGGACTCTGTCCAGGATGTCTCCCATCCAAGACATTGGTGCAGCGGCGAGCTGGTCCTCGCCGCTCACTTTTGTCCGCCTCTTAACAGGCTGGACGTTCTGCTCCCAGTGTGACTCAAGCAGTGCTGGGCACCTGGTTGAGTCAGAGCTCTACCTGTTAAGTTCTGGTTGGTTTGGTGATTTTCGAGATAAGCTCGTCTGACAATACGGGAGCTACAATTTCCCATAGTGAGACATCGAACGGAGTGTTATGAATGAGAACTATAGGTTACTTACGTAACCCCAGTTCTCAGAGTAACATGAAGTGAGATGTCTCACCAGACGGCCCTCCTTGCTATGGTGAAGCGAGAAGAGATGCTTATTTTGAATGGCGCATGCGTCGTGGCGCAAGCTACTTATAGGGGGTGATTTCCCTGACGCTGACGTCAAGATCTCCAGCCAATCAGGATTGGCGTAATGAGATTGATGCTTCTGTTTGCTCCGCGATGAGGCGCATCCCATAGTGAGACATCTCACTTCATGTTACTCTGAGAACTGGGGTTACGTAAGTAACCTATAGGTTTCCGGAGATGAGCGAAGAAATGAAAAACGTCTCAACCCTAAACATCAAGAAGGGAGATCAGCGACTTGTAGGTAAAACGACGAGGAGAGACAGTGAGGGAGAGGGAAAGGAGCTTTTATAAATTGCTCTAATTGTTGATCTCATTAAAAATGGAGTTCGGGGAAAGTACAGAAAAAAAGAGGAGGTGAGGAGAAGAGAGAAATGCTGTTGGCTGTGATACACAAGGCCTGCCGAGCAGAACGGCTAATCCTAGCCCCCACACTCTCTCTCTCTCGCTCTCCCTCTCTCTCTCTCTCGCTCTCGCTCTCCCTCTCCCCTCAACACCATTCACGCTCCTGTAATGCAGCTCGGGCTGCCCCCTCCAAGTGTCTGCCCGCAAAGAAACTTTCCAAACTCCATCACCATGGCGTACCATTAATTAGGCCTCAGCCAGCCACGCAGGAGCAGCGCTTGCGAGCACGCTTCACATCGCAGCTAGCAAATTAGAAAAAGCAGGAAATGCTGTTATTTTGCTTCTCCGTCCTCCTCTCTTTGTTCTCGGCCTCTCCACCCACCTAGTAAACAGCAGAGGAGGGAGCCTGCAATGTCAGCCGCTGTTTACTGATTGTTTTCTTTTAATCCATGGTGGGTTATCCATGCAGCTCAGGACTCCATTTGAGTTTCTCCTAAATGTCTTTTTCTTCTTTTGTTCCTAATGTGGGGACACTGTTGTTTCCGTTGAGCCTCTCCGGAGACTTAATGGAATATGTTGCTTTCATGTTTTGGATGGTTTTGTTTCCCCCTGCCTCTTTTATCTGGAACAAAAAAGGCAGGCAACAGATCTTTGAATGAGGGGAATTAAACCGAGGTCTCGCTTTTACTTTGTGTGTCAGATATTTGTGCGCTGATGCATAGGAACCTATTGACAGACAGAGGCCAATCAATCAAAGTCCCTCCTTGTCTCTCAGGTGCAGTCCGATGCCTTAGATTTATTTACCAAGTTGCGCAATTGAATGCAACAATCCAGCAAAGACGTGCATTCGGTGATGATGTATTTGCAAATAAACCAAGAGTCATTATCACATCAAGTGTACTGGAATGCTCAAGGGGAGAACACATTATTTATTTGAGAGTATCATTTAGTTGTACTACATAGGGTCACTTAACATACATGTACTTTTCCAACAGATTACTGTTAACACAAACTAACAAATACTTTTTTCTGCACTTTTACCCCTTCTCTCTTTCCTTCCTTGTCTCCATAACCCACCACCCTTTAATTTCCCTTCCCCCCGCACCCACAGATGTTTTGGATGGAGTGGGAAGTCCTTTTGAGGATGATGATGGTGGGGAAGGTGAAAGGGGTGAGGAAGAGGGCAGGGTGGAGGAAGAGCAGCTCGATCTTAGTGGTGGTGGTGATGATGGTGATGATGATACTTTTGCTGCCACATCTGCTTCTGCGCTGGTTACTAACCCGCTACCTCTGGAGGAGAATCTTCCAGCCACCTCCAGCACCCCCCTTCATCTGGAGCTTACTAACCCCGACTATGAGCTAACTTCTCTGGGTAAAATTCACTGGCTGTGGCTGTGTGGTGCTGCATGGTTCACTGTCTTGTCTTTTTCTAACTAACTCCTTTAACTGTCTGGACTTTCTTTTGTGTGTTTTCTACATGGGTCATTTCTCTCAGACACACAACGGCGAATCAGGGACATTGTGGGTAAAACAATTTATAAAGGATCCTGGGTAGGGGGCAATATTCTGAGATATACCATCTTCATTTCCATGGTTAAATGCTTTCATTTACAGGCAAAACAAGGGGTACAATTCATAAGAAAAAAACTCCTACATTTATGGGAAAGATCTTAAATATAATTGAGATTATAAAGTCTTTAATTTGCAGCAAAAAAACTCACGAAAGTATAAAGTCGAAAAACTACTCAGTGTCAAATAGCCACATCACTTTACTTTGCTAATCATACTTTTAATATCAGAAGTATCACCCCCATGTACTAGCTCCATATTTATTTTTTACATTACATTGCATTTAGCTGACGCTTTGATCCAAAGCGACTTACAATAAGTGCATTCGACCAAGAAGATACAAACTAGAAGAAAACAGAATCATAGAAGTACATCAGGTTACATGGAGCCAAAACATTTCAAGTGCTACTCAACTGGCTTTAGATAAGCCAGTCCTTTATTAGTATATTAGTGCTTTGTTGTATGTATTGCTCGAAGTGGAGTCGAAAGACGCAGTTTTCAGTCTGCGCCGGAAGGTGTGTAAGCTTTTTGCTGTCCTAATGTCAATGGGGAGCTCATTCCACAACTTGGGTCCTCCTCGCAGCGAGGGTGCAGCGAGCCGTTTGGCTGATGCAGAGCGTAGTGCACGTGCTGGAGTGTACAGTTTAACCATGTCCTGGATGTAGGAAGGGCCAGGTCCATTCGCAGCATGGTACGAAAGTACCAGTGTCTTGAAGTGGATTCTAGCAATTACTGGAAACCAGTGAAGGGAGCGGAGGAGCGGCGTGGTGTGGGAAAATGTTTTACCTACAATGTCCCTTATAAAAAGTTACACAGATCTTTTGGTGTGTCTTTCTGACAACCCACTCTATCTCGTCACAGTAAACACGCCTTATGAATTTAACGCTAGAGTAACTAAAACCTAGTCTTGTTCAAAAAGACTGCCCTCTAAGCTTTACTCACTGACTTGTGACGTGTGACAGTCACACTTTTTTTTTTATAGTATCTTCCTAAAGTGCATGCTGTCTATCTTAATGTTCATCACTATGTGTTATCTCTATTCACTTGCCCCCTCTAACCCCTGCATCCTATTGGCTACATACACATGGAAGCTTCACTCGGGCGAAACTAGTTTACAGGGAGCCTTTGTTAAGTGCAGCCATATTGTTGTTGGTGATTTTTTGCTTTCATGAGAAACTTCTTTAAGTAGTAATTAATAAATTGAAAAGTACTCCCCTGACAAAAATAAATCATATCTTCAGGAAAGCATTTGCTCAAATCTTCAGAGGTAAACTAATTAGTTTGTTTTTTTATTATTACATTTTCTTTCTCAATTTCCTGCTGATGTGAGATTGGTGAGAGCACAGTGAGGGACCAGAAGAAGCCAACATGAAAACAGAAAAATGCTTTCTGCCGCTTTGAAGCTCAGTATCTCTGCGCTTTTTTCGCCATGTGTGTGTTTTCTCTTTTTTCTTCTTTGTTGGTATGTTTTTATGTAGTCTTGAAAGAAATGGATGTTGTTGTTAAAACGAAAGTAGCTGACACTGCACTTCATCCTTCACATTTGTCATCACTTTCCTGCATCCCAGGTCATTCACCCCACTTCCTGTGTGTGTGTGTGTGTGTGTGTGTGTGTGTGTGTGTGTGTGTGTGTGTGTGTGTGTGTGTGTGTGTGTGTGTGTGTGTGTGTGGTGTGTGTGTGTGTGTGTGTGTGGTGTTGTGTGTGTGTGTGTGTGTGTGTGTGTGTGTGTGTGTGTGTGTGTGTGTGTGTGTGTGTGTGTGTGTGTGTGTGTGACAGAGGGAGATGACACATGAAACGGTTGCTCTCCTGTTCTTTCATCTCCCTCAGTGCAGTGGTTTGGTCTGGCATTGGTTTCCATTCCCTGGAACATGAAGCTGTACGCAGCTACGGGAAGGCAGAGAGAGAACCTGAGGGAGGAAGTAATAATAGAAATAATAGAGCAATAATATGAAGGGAGGTTGGAGTTAAAGGAAGTGAGGAGGTTAGGATGGAGTTAAAGGAAGTGAGGAGGTTAGGTCTGACGGTTAAATGAGGGGAGGGAGTTAGGTAGAGATTTGAAAATTGCTATAAAAGGACAAGAAGATTATTTAGAATGAATGTAAAGATATGTTTGCTCCTGAGAAAGAGAATAAGGACAACCATTTCCACTAATGTGATGATACAAATATTTTTTTTAAAGCACTTAAAAATAATGAGAAATCACAATCACATACTGTAGTATCTGAAAAGTCAATATTTTTGTTTTGTTTTGTTTTACTTGTAGAAGTTTGTCATTATAATTAATTAAAAAAATTCAAGTTTTCATATTTTTTTATTTCTTTATGGAACAATAAACACTTGACATGCATGAGTGTGTTCATGAATCCAAACGTAATAATCTTCTCTATTGCTGTTCTACATTTCATACCATTTGTATTCACTGTATATGTTTTTTTTTTTTTACTTCTAACATCTGAACTTTTTATATATTATAATGTTTGATTGTACTTTTGATATTTACATAAAGTACACTGTTTATACTTATTTATATATTTGTATCTCCAGGCTCAAACAGTAAGCATATGGACCTGAAGCTGAAGAAGCTGGTGGAGGTCAGCCCCAGAAGAGTCACCTCCCCTTCATCCCCGTCCTCCACATCTTCCTCATCTTCACCCACTGCCTCCTCCTCCTCCACGGTCAGCCCTGCAGAAGGACTGGAGGTAAAATACACACACACACACACCCCTACAACACACACACTCACACACACTCACCCCTACAACACACACTCACCCAAACAACACACACACTCACCCCTACAACACACACACTCACCCCTACAACACACACACTCACCCCTACAACACACACACTCACACCCCTACAACACACACACTCACCCCTACAACACACACACTCACCCAAACAACACACACTGAGTATCTCTACGTGCTTTATTTCTCTCCACAACTCTTTCTTCTTTTATCAGGGTTCATACAAGGTCTTGGAAGTTTAGAAAATGCTTAATTTAGAGCTGGTTTTCAAGGTATGCTAGAATTCAAATACACTACTTGAAAAACAGAATTAAATCTAAAACTAGAAAACCTGATAAAACATGGAAAGTAAAAAAACAGTAGATAACTATTCATCTTGATCATATACTACAATAAAAGGTGAAATGAACAGGTGGTAACATCAAAGTGATTCATATATTTATTTATTAATACTGTTGGTAGGAAATAATTGAGACACTGGAGGTTTTTGGTTAAGTTACTTTACATTTTTATTTTTAATTCCACTTAATTGACATAAAAAACCCTATTTTGTCTCACTCTTTATCTCTCAGTCGCTCTCTCTGTCTCAATTGCTTTCCCTCCACACCATCAAAGGGTCAGTCCAATCAATCAGGTCCGATTATTGACCCGGTTGTCAGCCAGCGGACCCCTTTGTACACATCAGTCAGTCGGACCACTTCATGTTAGACCATCGCTTATCCCTCTCGTGTCCATATGAGTCTGTCTAAATCCACAGAGAAACACACACTGTCATCATAATGCTCTACATAACATGTTCCGGTCCCTTCTATTGACTATGACCTTTTCACACAGCCGCTGTGTGTCAGGAGGTGGAGAAGAGGTGCTGCTGCATGTGTGTATCTTCTGATGTGAATATTGAGTCAACAACAAGTAGTCGGCCGGTCTTAACATCTGTTTAATTGATTTTGAATGTCAAGTGGAATAAGGTGAGAGTGTGTGGCTGTCAGTACAAGGTAAACCCTCTGTGCTTATGGCGACACAGGGTGTCTTTGATCATCGATTCATATAAACACCCTCTTGGGTTCAAAGCCCGAAAGGCTTAGTGCTTTATGGCCAAAGGAGTGTGTGTGTGCACGAGTTACCGCTTGACCCTCACAGAAGTAGAATCGCCATTTGGTGACACCTATCTGAAACACTGTACCCAAAAGTGTGTTCAGTGTAGGGATGCATACCGGTATCCGGTATTACCAAAATACCGGTTACTGGTGGCTACGGTATACCGTACCGAAATCAGATCCGGTTTCGATACTTTAAAAAAAATATATATTTCTTTTTTTTTTTAATATATATATATTTTTTAATTTAATTTTAAAAGTGAGTCCGTGGCCCGTGATGGCGGGTGTTATTTTTTCTTCATATTTTATGTATTTTTCATTGTTTGTTCAATACTAGAAAGGTAAAAGTCCCACGAATGAACTGTGATGGGATTTGTTTTCTCTCACCAGTGAAGGTACATGTTGATTTTAAAGATGAGATTTGTTTGTTTGTGCAATGCCGAGATCTCATGACCTTTATTCTATTATTTATTTGTTCTCTAGTCGAATCTCAGGTTTAACATTAATTATAACGGTCTGTTTGCATTGACAAGATGTGCTATTCACGCGGCACACCTGATGGCGGGTGTTATAAAAGATATTCCATAATCGGTTTTCTTCATATTTTGTATGTATCTGTCATTGTTTGTTCAGAACTAAAAGGTCCAAGAAGTCCCACAATTGAATTTAATATTCATTTGACATGTTAACTATATCGTAAAGCGCTTCATGGGAGTAATTGTGGGATGATACATTTTCAAAGTATCACGATATGTATCGGTTGAGTATCGGTATCGTTCAGTGGTATCGGTATCGTAAAAAAGTCAACGATATGCATCCCTAGTTCAGTGCCGCGTCCTGTAATATTTGTAATTATTTACTGCAGTGTATGATTTGATAATTTTTAATTCGATCCAAGTAGGATTATAAGTAATGTACTACTTCTCTAATGTATCTCCATTTTGGCACAAATTGTACACAATATAAAAGGGAAGCTGCACTAGGTGAATGTACTCAAAAATACAAAAACAAATCAGTTCTGTGCTTATCCTTTTTTACAGTCAATGTGTGCAGAATATATAGGTTTGTGTGTGTGCAGTTGCTTGACTTTTTCTGTCCTTTAAAATCAACCATCAAGGATAAACTGTCCTGTCCCGAGAGGATTGGACATCCCAAAAGTCCTTCAGGCAGGGGAACGACCTGCAGGAACAACACACACACACCCACACACACACTCATTAGTGATTGTGTGTATGCGCAGCCTCGGTAGCGCACGATAAGGACATGCGACGCTCAGCAGACTGCAACGTTAGTCATGCTGCCCCCCACATGCACGTTCACTCACTCACACTCACACACACACACACACACACACACACACACACACACACACACCCCAAAAGCACTGAATCACCACTGCCACCACGATGATAGCAGCGATAAGAGATACAGGCAGGGAGAGAAAGGGATGGAGGGAGGGGGACACCCCAATATCTGGCTTTCCCAGAGAGACGGACAGAGGGGTAAAAGTGTGTGTGTGTGTGTGTGTGTGTGTGTGTGTGTGTGTGTGTGTGTGTGTGTGTGTGTGTGTGTGTGTGTGTGTGTGTGTGTGTGTGTGTGTGTGTGTGTGTGTGTGTGTGTGTGTGTGTGTGTGTGTGTGTGTGTGTGTGTGTGTGTGTGTGTGTGTGTGTGTGTGTGTGTGTGTGTGTGTGTGTGTGTGGTGTGTGTGTGTGTGTGTGTGTGTGTGTGTGTGTGTGTGTGTGTGGGTGGGTGTGTGGGTGGGTGGGTGGGTGTGTGTGTGTGTGGTTCCCAACAGTTAAACAATAAGTAATAATTGGGTATTCGTCCTCCGGGTCCTAATCAGTCTCTCCGGGGATTTGCTCTCCTGCTAAATCAACAGTTCCCTGTAGATATTGCAGGGGCTTGCAGTTTTTCACCGGTCAACAAACTGAAATGCATTAAAAACACAAATCCTTCTCCTGGATATATGACAAGGACAGCCACATTAATCCAATAAATCCTTTGACATCCAATTATCAGTGTGTGTTACACTGTTTCTGCAAACAAACATGTGAAATATTCATAAAATGGATGGACTTCATCCAGGCAACTTATCGCACTGTCAGTATACTTTGTTCAGTGGCTGATATGGAACTGAAACTCTGAACCCTCAGTGTTGTCTGCTTTACCCATTTGACTTATAATGCATATACTTTGTGTTCCTTAAATAAAAGTTCTCATGTAAATAATTGTATCTAATACATTGCCTAACCACACAAATCATTGATTGCTTAAGCACTATGAAAAGAGGATGACCTTTGTGGTTTTCTGAATAACAGATTTAGTCCATCTTATTGTATATAATGATGGGACGTAAGCCGAGTACCCAATTCAATCAAAGGAAGTGCACTTGTCTGTATTTAAAGTGTTCTTTCATTAAAAAAAGACTGGCCTTCTTCCAAATAACTGAATATATCTGAAATTAGTTGGTGTTCAATGATTTATTTAGTCCTGAACAACACATTTTGTCCGGCAGTGGCTCAGTCAGTACGGGCTTGGACTGTGAGCTGTAGGGTCGCCGGTTCAAGTCCCCGACCAGACCTAAAATATGGACTGTGGGCTGCTACTTAGAGAGGTCCCAGTTCACCTCCTGGGCCCTGCCGTGGTGCCTTTGAGCAAGGCACCGGACCTCCCCCTCACTCCCATTGCTCTCCGGGTGCTGTACAATAGCTGCCCACTGCTCCTAGTACTAGACTCCTGGTACTAGGATGGGTTAATGTAGAGAACACATGTCACTGTGTGTGCTGTGTGCTCTGCATGTGTGACCGTTAAAGAGGGTTTCATCCCTCCCAATTTATTTATTTTGTGTCACTATTAATTGGAAAATGGAGAGATCCAAATGAGTTTTTATTCAGGAATCAGAAGCTGGGATTCCTTCTGCTGCCATTAACGTTCACATGCACACACACACACACACACACACACACACACACACACACACACACACACACGGTTACCCCTCTGTCCGTCTCTCTGGGAAAGCCAGATATTGGGGTGTCCCCCTCCCTCCCTCCCTCCCTCCCTCCCTCCCTCCCTCCCTCCCTTTCACTCCCAGCCTTATGTTTTAAATGGTTAATTGGCCATTTTCTATACATGGGACTTCAT